ATTCGATGTTTTCTTACTTCTTCGGTGATTGATTTAGGAAACTGGTACTGGACGGAAGTTGTATTAGGACTGGATTCACAGGAAGTTTCGGAAGTAGGAAAAGAATCAGTTTGTCTAAAACATATTTGTCAAATGAATATTTAACCTCTTAAAATTTTATCACTTAAAAGTTTTCAATTAAAAAAATTCAAGTATTAAGTACCTATTAATATTTTCTAAGAGTATTTCTTCTGTCAATGAGATCGTAGCTGATTCTGAACATTTCTCAACACAAGGTCCAGTAAAACTTGATACATTTTTGCTGTGGGAAATAATTGAAAAGAATTAGTTTTTTTAACTTACAATTAATAACAAGGTTACCACGCTTTTGCTCTTTTCAAATTCCCTGACTTTTCCAGGTTAAAAAACGGAATTTTTACAGGTTTTTAATACGAAAATTATTCGAAAATATTAATAACTTAATTTTTAAATAAATATTTAATCATTATTTTTTCATATAGAAATTAAAATTTTCAAAAATTTCAAATTCAATAACTTATAATAATTTAATCTTGCTACTTTGTTACTGTAACTTATTCAAAAATTATTTTTATCATTACGATTATTCATTTCTAGAATTTTCAACTAAAATTCTTCTTGAAGTCAATATTTTAAAATAATTTTTGAAAAAGTTCTTTGAGAATTTTCAATTTTTTTTTACTATTTAATTTTATGAAATTTTGATTATTCTGAGAGACTTCAATTAAATGTATTAAAAATTAAAAACTTTCAATAATTAAAAAAAATTCCATTAAACTTTTTGAAAAAAATTTAATTCTTCAGAAATCTTAATTAAAAGTGTGAAAAGTTCAAATTTTCAGAGATTTTAATTTTGAAACCTTTTAAAAATTCAATTATTTCTAAAAATTCCACACTATAATGCTTTCAATATTCAATTATAATCTAAAATTTTAACTGAAATTCATTTTTAAATCAATATTTATTAGAAAATTCTACGAGATTTCAATTATTTAATTACAAAAATAAATATTTTATTAAATAATTAAATGTTTTTAAAAATTGAATTTTCATATAAAGAATTTTATCAACAAAATTTTTAAATGATTTCATTCTCTTGACAAATTTTAATAAAATTTTTAAGAATAATTTCATTTGAGAAATTTTATGAAAATTGTATTAAAAATAATTGAAATTCTGCCAAGAATTTTATTATAATTTTTAAAAATAATTGAATTTCGGAGAGGAATTTTATTTTTTATATAGATAATTGAAATTTTGTAAATTTTTGAACATAATTGGATTTCTGCGGAGAATTAGAATACTTTAAATAATTCTCAAATAAATGTAATTTTAATTATATATTTTATTATATTTATAAATTATTTTAATAAAAATTAGTGAATTTAATTATTATTATTATTTATTTATTTATTCAGTTAAACTTATCTCAATTTCAATATTTTTTAAAAATAACCTTAACAATTTTCGTTCCTGACGCAAGTTTTTTAAATATTCTGCTTTTTTTCCCTTTTTTCTTTATTTTTTTTTCTTTTTTCTCTCATTTGGTCTGCTTTTTTATTAGAAATTTCCTTTACCTCCCTCATTATTTGGAATTTTAACTTCTTTTCAGTTTGATTAATTATTTTTATTTCTGTTTTGAAATGTCAAAACAAAACATTCAACAACTTTCAAAGTTAAAAATGAAGTTGTCAATTTTCCACACTGCCAACCTTGAAATTCTAAATTATTGTGACAAAAAAACATTTTTTACGGTCCTGACATTTTCACAAGTACTTTCTTATATTTCAATAATAATTGAAAATTTTAAGGCGTGCTCTTACACATAGGTAAAAAAAATAATTGTGCAAATGTGCATACAAATTTGATAACTTTTTATAGCTTCCTTTAGTTGTGCCGAGTTATTTAAGGTCCTGACATAATCGTGTTCTCTGCCGAATTCAAGAACAATACTCTTCAATAATTTCAATATAAATTATTGCACATAAAAATTTCAACTGGCCACAGTTTCAGTAAGTTTTAAGCTTTCATTCTATATATTGATGAATTCATTTTATAAAGTCACTCTTGTAATATTTGCAAGTACGTTTGCATTTAAGGTCCTGACACGAAACTAAGGGAAAGTTTTTGAAATTAAATATATTTGTTTTCCAAATGCGTATTATTTTCAAATTACTCTTAAAATAATCCTTAGATATTCATTTACATTTATGTATTCGTCGTTCAATTCTATTTTAATGTGCCAACTTATAAAATTAGTTTATGTTTTCGTAACTGCCTAAAGGGACACTCTTCATTTGCTTACTTTTCAACATTAAAAAATATATATTAATTACTAAACATAATTTAATAATTTTGAAACGAACATATTTTAATATTATAAAACATTCTTTACATGGAACAATAATTTTTTTTATAAAATATTTGATGTATATTGAGTAATTATATAATAAATATGAGACACTTAAAGGTTAAGAGTTCCAGAGAATTGCCCATATGTGAATTATTTTGGTCTAGAATTAAAGAATGCAATTTGTACTTGATATTGTACAACTATCAAATCTGAAAAAAAATTTCTTCAATTGGCGTGCACTTGAATTCCAGATTTCAAAATCGAAATTTTCACAAAAAATCTCTAACTTTAAAGAATTATATTTTTAATATTTACACTATTAAATTGGTTATATCTTAGCCTATTTGACTCTAAATTTATTCAACTTTAAAATGATCTTAGTTTTATAGCTCTAACATCTATTTTTACAGAAATATTTGAATTTAAAGTGAAGCGAGCAATTTAAAGTAATCAGTACAAATGTACTGAAACTTTTTGACCCCAGTGTATAATAAAATAAAAACAATTGACAAATAAGTTTATAATTACTCGACATGATCTGCGACGGTTTTATAAAACTCCATTGATTCGTAATATGTCCAATCACTAATTTTTTCAGTCGCACCAGAACCAGATGGAACGTATTTGACAACTTTTCTTCGTTCATCTGTATATCTATCTTTTAAACGTTTCCACAACCTTTTCGCTCTATCATCTGTATGTAAAAATATATAAATATAATGCATTATTTAAAACTTTTTAATTTTACACATATTGATATGAAATAAATTAGTTAAAAACATTTTATTAACTTATTCAAAGTACTCATATTTTCAACAAAAAATAAAAATATTGGATTAAAAATCTATTTGTATAATAAATGTATTTTTTCATTTAAATATTTATTATTTTTACATATTCAATTTTTGTTATTGCGCTTACTCTGTCTATAACTTCAATCCAAGCATTTTTTTTAGAACGTTATCTACATAAAGATCGGACCATTTATCGTAAATACATTCGTATTCTGAAATTATTTGAATAAATATATCAGTCTCGTCAATTTCCTCCATTTTTTAAATACTTTTAGAAATAAACAAACTAAAGTTGTGAAGAAATTAAAAACATTCAGCTCGGCAAGCATAAAACATTTGATTACTAGAGAGGAGACCTGATGGTGTTTTATACACATATAAAGAATATGATTTCTCCTTTACCTTGTAACACAGGAGTGTGAAAGTACCTTTAGGCTATTATTGTTCATTTTCAGACGCCAATTTAATAATCGTGTGCCTTCTTGAAAGATAGAAATTCAATGTTTAAGTGGTTTAAGTGAAAGAAACTTTGAATTTGTTTTTAAAGAGGTAAAGTAATTCCACTGTTATTACGAAATATTTTATTTATTTTGATATAATCTGTTAAAATGGATTTTATTGAAGAAGAAGAAGAAGATCAACAAATTGCATTCTTCATCAGTATTGTAAAGCAGTTAGAATGGATATATAATCCTCACAAAAAAATAACCAATCCACAGAAGAGAGAAAAGAAGTGGGATGATTTTCGCAATTTATTATCACAAAATGGAGTTCACTTAAATATGGGTATACTTTATTATTTTCTCTTAATATTTTTAATATAACGTTTAAATGCAAATAATAATTGTCATATGTTTTTTGTTAGACTTTATACTTAAGGAAAAATCAGACAGTAAAATAAACCAGTTATTCATTTTCATGACCATTTTTCCAAAATTGCTTATTTCAAAAAACTAAGAAAAATTAAATTTTAAATTGGTTTTTGTAAAAAGATAAACAATTTGGTTTTATTCAAATAAAATTACATTTTTCAACAATTAATATGTTTTAAATTTTATGTTATGTTAACTAATGTATCTCTTATTGACAGAAAATTTTTTTTTTTATTTAAATGCAATTTTAAATTGTTTAAAAAGTTGGAAATTAAATTTGACATTTTTTCAAAATAAAATAGAGATTTAATTTGTCTTTTTCTTTGTAAAATGCGAAATCAAGTTACTAAACCAATTTTTTATTTTTATTGTTTGCGAATTTTACCCTATAAGTTCTAAATTTTTATCACTTTGTTAAGAAATGCTATATTTTTAACAGGTCCTAAAGATAAATGGTATCAATTGAGGGATAATAATTATGTGAGAAGACATAAGAAAAATAATAGAAATTGGCCATATTACAAACATATGGAATTTCTAAATCCATATATTCATTGTAAAGAGTAATTTCCGTCAAATATTTATTTAATTCAATTTGTTAATGAATATATATTTTTACATATGCATATAATTTTTTTTTTAAGAAAACAGTGTGCAAAAAATGTTGGACAGAATTATTCTTCACAAAAAAATGTAAATATCAGGACACCTTACTCAGATGTAAATTCAGGACAGAAGCAAAACTATGGTTAGTTCATATTTTATACCTTTATTGATAAAAGGCCAGTAAAAACTTTAATTTTTAAATATATGCTAAAATATTTATTTATAAATCATATTTAGTAAAGTTAAATTAACATTTAATTGATTGACTTTCAAAGTTTACATGCAAAAAGAAATTACTTATATTTAAAAGCTTTTCGATTCCTGTGAATTAAAATATTATCAATTGTTACGGGTAAACTATTACACTTTCTTTTGCTAAAGAAAAGTTGGTTATAAATTTCAAATATTTTGAAAAGAAAGATCAATTATGGTTACATAATTATTACTTCTATTTTTATTAATAATATCAAAGGCCTGGACGATTTCTCTATTTCCGATTGTTAAATATTATTCCAAATTATTTAGTTACTTATTTGATAAAAAATATTTTTGATTGTAATAGGCAATTCTTCAAGTGCATCAACAGTTAATTGCTCAACAATTGATCAAATCATCAATCCATCTACTTCTACAACTGAAGAACACCATGATTCATATGAATTTTTTGGCATGGGAAGCGATGTCTCCATGAATGAAATGCCCGTTGCGATTGATGAGTTTGAAAACCTTCCATTGACTTCGAATTCTCCATCAACTATGCATTGCACAGTATTGTCATCAGTGTCTCAGTCTTGTCTTTCACCTAGTACTTCTACTGGTTCTGGACTTTTAAAGATAACACCCTTAACCACACCATGAACATTATCTTTTTCACCGTCTCAGTTTCCTTCACTTTTCGCAACATCTACTTCGTCGATTCCTTCAGTATCATCCTCAGCCTCTCTAATTTCCAACTTAAATACTGTTTCTGATGCTTCTTCATTCGTCAACACCTTAAAAACATCATTAACAAATTCTGTAACAACGCCTTGTACGACTCCAATGCTCTCAACAAAAATATTTCCTTCAAAACCTATTACGAGTATGTCTCCACCAACTCCAGCAATTTTGAATTCTACTACTTTCTCAGCAATACCTTTAGAAAGACAATGGTCTTCATCAACTTCAATACCTCCGACAACAGTATCAACATTATCATCTTCTCTTAATAGACATATAACATCTTCATCATTGCCGTCATCAAATCTTTCAAATATTACTTCAGGATCGAGAAAACAGCTACTCGAAACAATTATATCATCTGCTGCAGTTGTTTCAAGGCAAGAAACGACAACAAAGAAAATTGTTCCCTCTTGGGACCATTTTGCTACACAAAAAAAAAGAAAGTGGATTTAATAGGCAAAGAAGTTTCAGACTCAATAAAACATGCAAGTTCAAATTTGTCTAAAGTAACTTCAACATTAACAGAATACATAAAATTGAAACAATCTGTTGTCAAAAAGGAAGTAAAAAATAATTCTACTACAAACGTTCAGGATGGGTTTTTTAATATTATACAACGAGGATTCGTGAAACTTTCCCTGAAAGATCAAAGAGAAATACTTCCTCAAATCCTTGATGTAATGGGATCATTTGAAAAAGAATAGAGTAAATAATATATACTCTATGCGTTCTAAGGTCATAATAGAAATTTGCTGTGATTCTGTAAACATATAATTTATGAAGTATGGAATTATCGTAACTTTATTCACCATTGTTTTATTTTGTTCTTTGTTATGGAAATTTCGAAAATTTTCTTATATTTATAACCATATTAAGAATGTAGGCATTCATTTAAAAACCCAATTTATACGATATTAGTGTTATATATATTAGCAATTGTGAACACAATTGTGTATACATGCTGTGATGTTTTGAAAAGTATCATTTTAAGAAATGTCAATGTAAAAGCGTGATGACAAAAACTTATCACGTTCATATATATGTAAGTTTTGCTTTAAATTTCATTAAGGTATTTGTCGCGCGACTGGTCACTGTCAAAAGTTTGTATCCGTTGACTGTACTTATGAAACGATTATGAATGCGAGTTTCCGAAAAACTTTTGCGGACGTACAGTTTGACATACAGATGTTCTCAATGTATATTCATAACCTCTCGCATGAAAAACGATCGTGGCAACGTCGCAAGTTTGGCGTATGGCCGTCTTTAAAATTTCGCGCCAAAAGTAGCAGACAAGCTGTAGTATTTAACAAGCGCTATTGCCACGTTTACGAATTCACCTGTCATTTACAGTAATTGTTAAAATAATTTTTCAAGTTTGACGTTAAATATCTTTTAAACAAGACGGTGAAAAATTTTCATTTTTTTTATAAAAGTTCATTTTGGTTCAATAAATGAAACTTTAGTTTTTCTAAAAAATCTGACGATTAGTATAAGTGCAAAAATTAAAAATCTGTGGTTTTCATATGGTTTTCCTATACCTTACATGTTAAAAATCGAAGCTTTGATTTCATTTTTTGAGATTTACAGACGGTCAATTTTATTTTAATAGGCCTTATTTTGTAGATAAATATCCAAAGAATAATTATGTGAAATTTAAAAAAAATCTGACGAAAACGAATTTACGCGACAAATACCTTAAGCGCTAAACTGTTGAAAACTTATATTATAGAAGTGCACTTTTAATTCTACATTGCAATGTACAACTTTTTAAAAATTATTAATGTGATCAGCAGCCTTCTTGTGGGAAGATTTATCTTCGGAAACATTTTTTTAGAAAAGTAAGGTTAATTGTTGGTTTTACATTATATACTATACGCCAAATGTGATTATAAATTAATGTGATCAACAGCCTTCTTGTGGGAAGATTTACCTTCGGAAACATTTTTTTTTTAGAAAAGTAAGGTTAATTGTTGGTTTTACATTATATACTATACGCTAAATGCGATTATAAATTAATGCGTTAGCCTATTTCACTTAAATTAAAAAAAAATATTTTTGTATGTTGATTAAAAATACAAGCTATTTAAATATATTAATAATTTAGTTATTTCTATTCCACATAAATCTTGATAGGATTCTAAATAATTTAGTTAACATTGTTTTCAATAATATAAAAACGAGATTGAGTAGTCATAATATAAAAATAAAAAGTTGGTTAAATTTTTTTTAATTTAAAGCACCTTCTTCTGAAATAAAGTAGTCTGCCAGTACATTCCTTTGTTCTATTGCTTCTTGTGGAATATCAAAATCATTCTCCTCGTTTAAATTATTTTCACCAACTTGTCTAACTTGATGCTCTTCATACCTTCTATCTCTTTCATCTAGTAACAATTCTTCTGTTAATAGAAAGTTGTGCAAACACACCACAGCTTGAACGATTGTGATGGCATTAGTCAATTTGAAGTCAATACTGTCTTTTAAAACAAGCCATTTATTGCTTAATAGACCAAACGAATCTTCAATTGTGTTTCTAGCCCTTGCTAATCTAAACAACAAGAAAATAAACATTACATCTAATTTTACTAATTTTATATAGGGTAAACTAAATAGTAGTCGGCCACTTTTAAATTTTGAATAACTACAAATCCATATGAGACAGAAACAATTTTTTTTGCTAAACGTTTGTAGTATTATTGTTAATACATTTGCAATAGAAATAAATATTATTTTTAAACGTTTTTGAGCTGGTGGACAACTACTGTCTGGTTTACCCTATATGGGTGATTCTTCTAAAATGGACCACATCGCATGTCTCCATCTTTATATAATCTTTTAATGCTTATATTATAAATTCTTCTCAATTAAAAAAATAGTTAATTTTAATCATTGCTTCGAAATGTCTGACCCTTAAATTGAATTATTTATGTAATAAAAATAAAATATACAAACTAAAAGTATAATACATTAAAAGACAACAATAAATTAGACATAAAAAACACGCAATACAATTAGGAGTAAAACGACCAACTGACATCTGAATAATAACGAAATTAATTAACTTACAATCATCATAAATTAATTAAATTTAAGAACCAGTGTCGCCCATTTAATATATTAAGAGAAAAGTAGTTCTTACTAGATCTGTAAAATTCTATTATAAAAAAATATTTGTAGCATCTAGCGATTCTATTGTGATGGAAAAATTATTACTTTTTTCATTATTTACCTGTAATTAAAGGCTTTTTGTCTCTCATTTAATTGACGGTTTCTATCGAATGGTTTCATCAAGTACTTTTTCAAAGGAAATATTGCATCTCCAATAAAAGCATAAGGAAGTGCAATATTTGTTCCTGGTATCAGTGCAGCGGGTGGTAAGTCTAATTCATTATTTTCAAGTGCGACGAAAAAATCAGTATGTTTTAATGCCGACACATCGCTTACAGATCCTAAAATTTTATGTAATTTAAATCCTAAAAGTAAAAGCTATTCTGGATTGCCACAAAAATTTAAACTTATTTCTCCCTTACTTTTCCCGGATTTTCAGACGAAATTTTTACTTTTTCAATTACTTCAATTGAAGCCGCGCGTCGAAGAGGGATCTAACCTTCATAATGTTAATTTCGAGAAAAATGAAAAAATGTGAAATTAAGTTATTTATAAAAAAAATAGTTTGAAATGCTTCCAAAGAGGAAAAGAAAACTATTCTATATATTGCTTCTTTGATATTTTCTTTATTTCTTGAAAAAAATTGCTAAATTACTTTTTACAGTGGAAAAGGGATCTAACTGATGAATTCACGTAGATCCTTCTTCCACAATGAGAAATTTTTCTATTCAAAAGATTTATTTTTATTAAACTATTTAATATAAAATGGATTTTTATTATTTTTATATTTATTAAAAAGTAAAAATCACCTTTTTGGAAGCATTTTATGAAATTTAGTTTTTTTTAATGAACATTTAATTTTCAAGTGTTACTTTATTGAAATATTTTACTATTTTTATTGTTAAAATATTTACAAATTTTAAAAAATATTGCAAAATTTATTTTAAATAAATTTTATTTATTATTTCAATTTACAAAACAAATTATTGAAATGTTGAATCATTTTTTTTAAACTTGCGACATCTTTTTATAATTCTATTCAGACGTAGTCGTCCACAAATTTTCATAAAACTCCCTGTGTATTGGAGAAAGATATTGTATCATATCTTTTAAATCATTAACCTTTTCAGGCTTAATTTCTAAAGGTTTTGAATACGCCAATGGTAATATCCGGGGAATAGAAATTTTTCTTTTTGGTTTACCATTTTTTAAAATGGGCACTATCCGATATATTTCCCAGGGCTTCATAACATTGTGCGAGTCTTTTGCATAAATGCTGTTTGGATCGTCTTTCCTTAGCTGCAACCATGCAATTTTTGTCACTTTTAATTTTGAATTTGCTTTAATGCTATTGGCGAGAGTGCTGAAATCAAAAAAGTCTTCCTGTTTCATTAAAGTTATTTCAAATGGATTTGATGAACGAGCATTAGCGATTATCTCCAGTAGTTCTGATGGAACTTTCGCAGTTTCTTTCTTCACCATTCTTTGAATGAGGGCGAAGTCACGATCACAAGGCAAAAAGGAATGACCTGACACCAAAAACTTTTGTTCAGTTGATGTGAAATACTTTTCATTAATTAAATATATCATTAAAGATATAGTTGTCCAATTATTGTTTTGACCAACACATCTGTCAGACCAAATTATTAAATTCCTTTCTTCATTTTCATTCAACTTTTGATAATTTTGTTTAATATATTGTAAAATGCAAGAAGATATATCAGAAGCTCCTCTTTTAGCTATTCCTTCGTGCCATAAGAACATTTGCGCATGATTTGTAGAAGGATTATGAACTGCGAAATTATAACAGGACAATTGCCTCTGATAGAAAACGCTTGAATGTGTCAACATAGGTAAAAAGATTACTTGCTGTAAATCCACGCATAAAACTACAGTATTCGAATTGTTTCTACTATTTTCACCGTCGTTTTTCATTGAGATGTAACCATTTTCCGCTTTCATATGATGAGCTTCACTTATCGCTTCTATTTCTTTTCTTTTTTCTTCATTTTCCGCAGCCAGTAGCTTTACATATAAATTATCGCATGTTTTACAAGTATCGGACCTCGGCAGACCAATCTTCAAATTGAAATCATTGTAAAAAACATCTCTATATAGCCAAAATGAAACATCGGATTCTGGGTACTTTTCTTGAAATAAAAGAAACATTTTGTTCAATGTTAATGAAGAATGTAAATACATTCGATTGTCAGTGGAAGTTTTGTTTCGGCTATAATGATTTTCCATTTGCGGAAAGAGTTTGATGTGATCTCGAACAAGTTCTCGAGTTTCTTCAGTTATTCGGTGTGGTCTATTCAAATGTTTCCCTCTTTCGTCTTTAGGATCCAGTACACCTTCTTTAATTTTCTTTTGAATATTCTGAACGCGTTTATGTGATACAGCGTAAATATCACACAAAGTTTTTTGACAAATTTTCTCAATCGCACCATTAGGTAATCGAATTGTATAATTATAGGTGGAAGTTCGACGAGATGTTAGTTCCGGAGAATCACTTTCTTTAATTTTTTGAGTCTTCTTTGGAACGACATTTATACACGAAAGAAGAATGGCTGATTGAGAATTGTAGTCACATTCATAAAATTTGTGGAACAGTTCTGTTTTTAATTCTTTATTTAATAAAGAACATCCATTATAATTGCATTTACAAACCCGATCCTGTAATATAAATAAATAATATAAATAAGAAAACTAAAAATAAATAAATGCTTAAAAATAATTTGTGATAATAGTAAAAAAAAAATTTTGATACTTTTTTATTTTTACGACAAAATTATAAATGAAAATAATATAACATTTCAATTAAATAAGAAAATTAGCAATAAATTAAAAAACTGAATTTAATTTACTTAATAAATAATTTTTTAACGTTTATTTATTATAGTGAATAAATTAAAATAAAAAAAATAAAAACATTATTTTCTAGATAGATCTCTTTTCCACAATGTTGTTACTTACATAGTCAGAAGCCTTTTTTTCTTCTTTTGGCTTTCTGTTTCGTGTTTCATATGCTTTTCCCGCATCTTTTAATTTTTTTCTTTTATTATCTTTCCATTCTGAAGGATTACTCTTCCTTTTTCGAGGCATTTTATGTTATTTTATGTTACTTAACCACACTGATTATTTATAACCTTTCTTAAAAAAGTTGACAATCGAAAAGAGTTAGATTCCTCTTCCACGATAGACAATTTATAATTATAATATTAGGTATTATAATATTATAATTATGTAATTTTTATTTCAGAATTTTAAAAAGGAGATTTAATACAATATTTTTTTCTATATAGTTAAAATTTGACAAAAAATGAGTTAGATCCCTCTTCGACGCGCGGCTTCAATTATTACTCAGTTAAACTTTATCAACATAATTAATTTTACAGAATTGTTAGTTTAAAGTAGAAAAAATAATAATTGAATTCTATGAAAACTCAATTATTTAAATACAAGAATAAATAATTTATTCAATAATTGAATGTTTCTTTTAAAATTTAATTTTTATGCAGACTTTAATTAACAACTTTTGAAAACATTCAATTTCGTTTAAGGAATTTAATTAAAATTTATATATATATTTATTATTATTCTTATTTATATAGATATATATTATTTATTATATATTTTATTATATATTATATATATTATATGGGACATTCCACGTCAACACGGACAGAGCTCTAAACAAAAATTGCTTTAATGGATTTAAACGTTCTAGGGCTTAAAAGATTTCTACGTTCATGTACTTTAAGATGCCGATGGGCGTTTTTTGCAAAATTCCATTTCCGATGCCAATAGAACTATCAAAAGTCAAAAGGTCCAAAAATCTCAAAATACTTTTATGAATTAAAAGCAAAAAACGAGGTAAATTATTCTGTAACTCATTCTTTATCAGTTTTTAGGGTTCCCGAATATAAATCTAAAGTTTTTTTTTTAAAATCCAAAATGGCGAATTCAATATGGCGGATTCATAAAATTTGTGGAACAGTTCTGTTTTTAATTCTTTATTTAATAAAGAACATCCATTATAATTGCATTTACAAACCCGATCCTGTAATATAAATAAATAATATAAATAAGAAAACTAAAAATAAATAAATGCTTAAAAATAATTTGTGATAATAGTAAAAAAAAAATTTTGATACTTTTTTATTTTTACGACAAAATTATAAATGAAAATAATATAACATTTCAATTAAATAAGAAAATTAGCAATAAATTAAAAAACTGAATTTAATTTACTTAATAAATAATTTTTTAACGTTTATTTATTATAGTGAATAAATTAAAATAAAAAAAATAAAAACATTATTTTCTAGATAGATCTCTTTTCCACAATGTTGTTACTTACATAGTCAGAAGCCTTTTTTTCTTCTTTTGGCTTTCTGTTTCGTGTTTCATATGCTTTTCCCGCATCTTTTAATTTTTTTCTTTTATTATCTTTCCATTCTGAAGGATTACTCTTCCTTTTTCGAGGCATTTTATGTTATTTTATGTTACTTAACCACACTGATTATTTATAACCTTTCTTAAAAAAGTTGACAATCGAAAAGAGTTAGATTCCTCTTCCACGATAGACAATTTATAATTATAATATTAGGTATTATAATATTATAATTATGTAATTTTTATTTCAGAATTTTAAAAAGGAGATTTAATACAATATTTTTTTCTATATAGTTAAAATTTGACAAAAAATGAGTTAGATCCCTCTTCGACGCGCGGCTTCAATTATTACTCAGTTAAACTTTATCAACATAATTAATTTTACAGAATTGTTAGTTTAAAGTAGAAAAAATAATAATTGAATTCTATGAAAACTCAATTATTTAAATACAAGAATAAATAATTTATTCAATAATTGAATGTTTCTTTTAAAATTTAATTTTTATGCAGACTTTAATTAACAACTTTTGAAAACATTCAATTTCGTTTAAGGAATTTAATTAAAATTTATATATATATTTATTATTATTCTTATTTATATAGATATATATTATTTATTATATATTTTATTATATATTATATATATTATATGGGACATTCCACGTCAACACGGACAGAGCTCTAAACAAAAATTGCTTTAATGGATTTAAACGTTCTAGGGCTTAAAAGATTTCTACGTTCATGTACTTTAAGATGCCGATGGGCGTTTTTTGCAAAATTCCATTTCCGATGCCAATAGAACTATCAAAAGTCAAAAGGTCCAAAAATCTCAAAATACTTTTATGAATTAAAAGCAAAAAACGAGGTAAATTATTCTGTAACTCATTCTTTATCAGTTTTTAGGGTTCCCGAATATAAATCTAAAGTTTTTTTTTAAAAATCCAAAATGGCGAATTCAATATGGCGGACAAAATTCAAATTTGATCAGATTCGATTAAAACTTGTTACTCGGGGGTTTTTAGGGTCGCTGATTACGAATCTAAAGTCACTTTTTAAAAATTCAAAATGGCGGATCCAATATGGCGGAAAATTTTTTAAATTTGATCTGATTCCCTTAAAACGTGTTACTCGGGGGCTTTTGGGGTCGCAGATTATGAATATGAAGTTACTTTGTGTTTGAGACTTCAAATTCATAATCAGATACGCTAAAAACCACTGAGTAACACTTTTTAATTAAATCTGATCAAATTAAAAAATTTGATCCGCCATTTTGAATTTCTACAAAGTAACTTCATATTCATAATCTGCGACCCCAAAAGCCCCCGAGTAACACGTTTTAAGAGAATCGGATCAAATTTGAAAATTTTTTCCGCCATATTGGATCCGCCATTTTGAATTTTTAAAAAGTGACTTCAGATTCGTAATCAGCGACCCTAAAAACCCCCGAGTAACAAGTTTTAATCGAATCTGATCAAATTTGAATTTTGTCCGCCATATTGAATTCGCCATTTTGGATTTTTAAAAAAAAACTTTAGATTTATATTCGGGAACCCTAAAAACTGATAAAGAATGAGTTACAGAATAATTTACCTCGTTTTTTGCTTTTAATTTATAAAAGTATTTTGAGATTTTTGGACCTTTTGACTTTTGACAGTTCTATTGGCATCGGAAATGGAATTTTGCAAAAAACGCCCATCGGCATCTTAAAGTACATGAACGTAGAAATCTTTTAAGCCCTAGAACGTTTAAATCCATCAAAGCAATTTTTGTTTAGAGCTCTGTCCGTGTTGACGTGGAATGTCCCATATATATATATATATATTATAGGGGAGAGGGCCCTAAGGTGGTCACCCATCTTTTGAACGACTGTAGATTTTAAATGGAATTATATATAAAGGTCAATAATACGGCGTTTGAAACTTTATCTTATTACCTAACTTCCTATCATAAAGTTTTTTTTTATTTCATTAATAAAAAAAAAGTTATGGCACTTTTTAAAAAAAGTTGAAAATTCGACTTTTAAAAAAGTGGCCCCAAGGTGGTCACCATACAAAAATTCACTAAAAAAGTTTTAAAAAAATGTAAAAAACGTATTACTAAGTTGTTTATTAAATATTAATTGTTTTTCAGGATCACAGAAACATATTACATATTTTTTTTGCACTTTGTCCTTTCGTCAAAAATGATACTTTTTGTGTATGTATTAGATAGGTAAAATTTTGAAAATAATTCTATTTCATTATTATTCATCATAAAACTTAAAAATTGATAAAATTCACATTCACAGTGATAAATGTTGCTAAATATGGCGTATAAACACATATTCATAAAAAATCAGAAGTGACCACCTTGTGGCCAAAAAAGTGTCCACCTTAGGGCCAAGACACAATTTTTTAAACGTTAATGAAAAAATTGTTTAAAGCACAATATTAATTATATTCACTTGGAATATTATTGTACGATATATAAAGATAATTATAACGATTTTTACTAATTTAAAATGGTTAATTTCGATGATTTTAACACCCTGAGAAAAAAATTTCTCGATCATTTAAAAACAGAAATTTTACGACGTTCACGTTACAAAGAGACTCATACGACTATTTACCTCAAAACTTTACTAAAATCTTTGTCTTCTCAAATAATAACAATAACAAAAAACATTTGAAGATACTAACTAATATACAAAAATTTTCTTAGGGTGACCACCTTAGGGCCCTGACCACCTTGGGGCCCTCTCCCCTATATATATATATATATTTATTATTTATACAAAAAATTTTAAAAATAAATTAAAACTTTTTGAAGAATTTCTTTAACATTTTTAAAAATAATTGTATTCCTGAGAACAATTATTATTATTATTTTAATTATAATAATCGTTGTCCAGTCTGTCTACACTTGAAGTCAGACTTTTGGGCAGGCTTTTGTTATTTTGATATATTTTAATAAATAATATTATACCTACTTCTTTATTTTTTTACTATTTTTTAATTTAATAATATTATCTTTATTTTTCAAATAATTATTATTATTCATTATTTCTTTGTTTCTAAAAACATTAGCGTTTTGTATCAAACGTTTTAAGTACAGTCGGGTCCCCATACTGTTACATTTCCAGAAATTTCCCACTCCTCTAGACTCAGCTCTGTTATGTGCTCAAAGTATGCCTACTGCGCACCTTTCAGGAACGTAAATATATACACCTCAAGTTTGGCCTAGAAGTATTTATGCCCCCTTTTCTTTGGGCTTAAGAATACGACCCTGAAAATTGGTGACGTAACGTGACGTCACCTAACACTTCTGAATTTGGAGGTTATGCAAAAACATAACACTACTGAGGACATAACAGTTTGGAATCTAACAGTATGGGGACCTGACTGTAATTAACAAATGTAAATTCTGCAAAAATATTAAACTTTTTTTAACATAAAAAATTAAATCGTTGGACATATTGAAATTATTATTAAAATTAGAATGTAGAAAATAATTTGCACATTTTCTGCTTCTCAATTTCAGTTCATAAACAAAGTACAAGTTTTAAGTAAAAACATGTTATAAATCAAATTTTGTCTAAGACATTTTTAATTTATTTTGGAGAAAACATTGACAAAATTTCTATTTGTTAAAAACGATTGCAAAACTATTCAAAAACATTAACGATTTCTTTTCTAAATAAATATTAAATGATTATTATTTTTCTATAGGAATCAAGATTTTCAAAAATTTCAAATTCAAACCTTTTTAAAAATTAACAACTTATAAGAATTTGTATAGTTATAAGAATATATAAGTTATAATAAATTGAAGATAACCGAGTAATAAGATCATTATTTTATATAATCAAAATATTTTTACTGCAATTTTTTTAAAATTATTTTCACCATCTTAATTCAACTATTATTTTTTAGAAGTTTTAAATAAAATTCTTCTTTAAATCAATTATTATCTTATATAAATTTTGAAAATATTCTTTGAGAATTTTCACATCCATTTGTTTACAATTAATTTTACTAAATTTCAATTATTCAGAAATTCTTCAATTTAATATGTATTATAAAATAAACACTTCAAATAATTTCAGGAAAAAATACAAATAAACTTTATGAAAAACTTAAATCTACAAAATTGTTGATTATAAGTATGAAAAGTTAAAATTTTCATAGAATTTAATTTGAAACCTTTTAAAAATTTAATTATTTATTAAAATTTATGCTAAATCTTTTTAATATTCAAATATTATTAAAATATTTGAGTAATTTGAATAATAAATATTCAAATACAAAATTTTTACTGACATTCATTTTTAAATCAACTTTTATTAGAAAATTTTACGAGAATTATTTTTGAAAATAATTCAATCTCTGTAAAAAAAATTTATTATTTATTGAAAATAATTAAACTATTGCGAAGAAATTTATAAAAAATTTGTAAATAATAGAATTTTTAAAAATGTTTGAAAATAATTTCATTTCTGCAAAGTATTTTATTACTTTTCAAAAGAATTGCATTCTTGTAATGAATTTTGATATTTATCAAAATAATAGAATTTTGGAAAAGAATTTTATTGTAATTTCTTAAAATAATTGATTTTATGGTAAGAATTTTCTTGTTTATCAAGAGAATTGAATTCTTCTGCAGAATTACCTAAAATTTTCTGAAAATAATTTATTTTCTGCAACGAATTAAAAGTTATTTATGAAAATATTTGAATTTTTGCAAAGAATTTTATAATTTTATTGAATAATTGAATGTTTCTTATAATTGAAATCTTTCGTCAAGTTTTAATAAAATTTTTTAAAATAATTGCATTTTTCGAGGAATATTTTAAAAATTGTATTACAAATATTTAAAATTTTGCTATGAAAGTAATTAAATTCCTGTATGAAATTTTATTATTTATGAAAATAATTTAATGTTTTCGTAGTATTGTATCAAAAATTCTTCTCAATAATTATTACAATTTTTGAAAATCATTTAATGTATGGTGAAAAATTTTATTGTTATTTAAAATAATTGAATTCTTGTGATGAATATAGTTATTTATAAAAATAATTCAATTTTTCAAAGAATTTTATTACAATTCCTAAAAATAATTGAATTTCTGTGAAGAATTTTGTTATTTATCAAGATAGTTGCATTAAAACTTTTGAAATAATTACATAATATGAAAAAATAAATAATTTTCAGAAATAGAACAAATTGAAGTTTTTTTTAGAATTCGTGGTAATTTTATAGTTTATTAGGCAAACAAAAAAGACACCAAAATTTAGACTTTTTCTTATAAATTCTAAAGAATGTAATTTTTTCCACTACTTCTAATAAAAATCTCTGACATATAGCAACACTGACTATTCTAGAAAAGTACAATTTTCAAAACTAATTTTACCGTAATCTCCAACGTCGATCCAGGTAAACCGATAGTGTGCATCGCATGTGGCTAAAAGTTTAAAACTATAAAATTTTTTATAATTAAAAAACATTGAACCGGAGAAAGGTGGTTTTTTAATTCGAATTTCCTTGCCATCCATGGCACCCAAGCAATTTGGAAAATTCCATTTTTCAAAAAATCCTCGGGCCACAATTTGTCAGTCAAATGAGTCCTTCATTCTTAAATATCGAGGTGATACACAATCCCAAATAACAGAAGAAACTTCGTGGATTATTCTGTAAGTAGTAGAATGACCAATTCGGAAATAATTTGCTGTTGTTCTATTACTATATCCATGTGCTAAATAGCTGTAAAATTAATATATTATTATTATTAATTTTATTATTTGAGAAAATTTTAATACGTCAAAACTTAAATTATCTAAATTTCAAAAAGTCAAAAGCTAGACTAACCATTAGAAGAACTAGATAGAATTTTATTAATTCTTTTTTATTTCACTTTCAATTTAGCCACAATTATGAGAAAAAGTATTTAATAGATAAATTTTTACAATCAAAATTGTTAGTAAACAAAATTGTTATTAAACGTATTTTAAACATATTTGAATGAAATCACTGACTTTCAATTTCAGTTGAATTCAAATCATAAATTTCGATTGAAATTCATATCGATTTTATTGAGGTAACTTTCTGGTGCAGAATTGGTAAAAACACTTTAATTGTAAAATATTTTGTACAATTACTACAAAAAATTTCTATTGAATATTGTTACTTATTATCTATTGCACATAAATTTGAAATTCAAACAGGATTTTTTTCATGGAGCGTTTTTCCTAGACCTTAAACTTCAAAAACAACTTCTTTAATGTTTTACAATTTTTTATACACATTTTTCTCGAAAAATAAGAAAAATGCGTTATTGAAGCAATTTATAGTTATAAAAATTAAATTTTCAAAAATTCTTGACCAGAAAGTCCCCTGAAGATTTTTCTGGCACACAAAATAAAGAAATAAGTACAATTTTAACGGAAAATAACCACTCAGTGATAATTGTTTAATTAATTTCAATAATTGTGTGTATGAATTTAAAATAAGGTAAGAAAAAACAAAATTAAAGAAGAACGACTAGTAAATAACTTAAAAAAAACAGTTGATAATATTGTCTTTGAAAATTTTAATTTTATCTGAGTTACGAAATTCGAAGTCATCGTTATCATTTAAACAAAGTTATTACTTCTTCCTGAATATTTAATTATGAAAAAATTTCTTAAATGATTTGAAATATAATAATTCTACAAGAGAGTAAAATATCAATAAAAAATTCCATACTTAAAGTTTATTTTTTATGTTACTTACTTTAACGTCACAATCAATCTAAGTCTTTTTGGCAATGGTCGTCTAATACTAAACTTTTGCAGCCTATGTGCAATCATGCCGTATAAAAGATTAAATTGATCTGGTGTCATTCGGGTCATTTTCTTAAATTCTTCATGGTCGTTTTGAATAAAATACAAAAATAAAGTTCGATAAGCACCAAAAACTTCACGCATTTCTTCGGCTATAAGGCTATTCAAGTTCGGTGGGGGAAAATTCAAGATGGATGCTAACTGGTGCACCAACATTGTATAGAAAGTGTATGGGATAGAGTCTAATTTTTTAAATATCTCGCTTAAACGAAATTTTTAACCATAAGTTTATTAGGATTTTATGTTTCATTTTTAAAGAACTATTTTTTGTAATAATAAAAATCGATTTTATTTTTTTATTGATTTTATTATTGCAAAAAATAGTTCTTTAAAAATGAAACATAAAATCCTAATAAACTTATGGTTAAAAATTTCGTTTAAGCGAGATATTTAAAAAATTAGACTCTATCCCATACACTTTCTATACAATGTTTGTGCACCAGTTAGCATCCATCTTGAATTTTCCCCCACCCAACTTGAATAGCCTTATATGTGGCTTCACCCACCAGCGACGAAATCGAGACTTAATTCGACACCATCGCAAGTACAAATTAATAACATTTAACCACGCAGAAATAATTGAAAACAAATGCATAACCATGATAATCATTGTGGAACGAAATTTTCTTCAAAAAAGTGGAATTCCTTAACCTCTTTAAAAATAAATTCAAAGTTTCTTTTACTAAAAAAATGAAATTCTATCTTTCAAGAAAGCACACGATTTTTAAATATACAGACAAAATCAATATAAATTACAGCAATAGTTATAGATAAATTTTAAACTTTAAAATCAACAAATGGAAAATACAATTAAATAAACATGAAACACTGTCTGTACACAATCTGGAAATGAAAATGAACAATAATAGCCTAAAGGTACTTTCACACTCCTGTGTTGCAAGGTAAAGGAGAAATCATATTCTTTATATGTGTATAAAACATCATCAGGTCTCCTCTCTAGTAATCAAATGTTTTATGCTTGCCGAGCTGAATGTTTTTAATTTCTTGACAACTTTAGTTTGTTTATTTCTAAAAGTATTTAAAAAATGGAGGAAATTGACGAGACTGATATATTTATTCAAATAATTTCAGAATACGAATGTATTTACGATAAATGGTCCGATCTTTATGTAGATAACGTTCTAAAAAAAATGCTTGGATTGAAGTTATAGACAGAGTAAGCGCAATAACAAAAATTGAATATGTAAAAATAATAAATATTTAAATGAAAAAATACATTTATTATACAAATAGATTTTTAATCCAATATTTTTATTTTTTGTTGAAAATATGAGTACTTTGAATAAGTTAATAAAATGTTTTTAACTAATTTATTTCATATCAATATGTGTAAAATTAAAAAGTTTTAAGTAATGCATTATATTTATATATTTTTACATACAGATGATAGAGCGAAAAGGTTGTGGAAACGTTTAAAAGATAGATATACAGATGAACGAAGAAAAGTTGTCAAATACGTTCCATCTGGTTCTGGTGCGACTGAAAAAATTAGTGATTGGACATATTACGAATCAATGGAGTTTTATAAAACCGTCGCAGATCATGTCGAGTAATTATAAATTTATTTGTCAATTGTTTTTATTTTATTATACACTGGGGTCAAAAAGTTTCAGTACATTTGTACTGATTACTTTAAATTGCTCGCTTCACTTTAAATTCAAATATTTCTGTAAAAATAGATGTTAGAGCTATAAAACTAAGATCATTTTAAAGTTGAATAAATTTAGAGTCAAATAGGCTAAGATATAACCAATTTAATAGTGTAAATATTAAAAATATAATTCTTTAAAGTTAGAGATTTTTTGTGAAAATTTCGATTTTGAAATCTGGAATTCAAGTGCACGCCAATTGAAGAAATTTTTTTTTCAGATTTGATAGTTGTACAATATCAAGTACAAATTGCATTCTTTAATTCTAGACCAAAATAATTCACATATATTAAATTAAGTATTTTTTTCAAATTCAATAAAAATAACTTCTCTTGCTCTCGAAATTTTTCAAAGAATATTAATTGCAAATTCGTCGTTTCCATTCACTTGTTTTATCAATTAACCATATTTTTGAAAAATATGCACCTTTTTGTTATTCTAAAATAAAAAAAAGTCACTTAGAAAGAAAATAAGGAATAATGATAGAATTAAAATTTGTAAAATTATAAGAAGAGGAATAAATTTCATGTAAATATCTTAAATTTCTGAAGATGAAGAGGTTCTATATTTTTCAAAAGTGTGGTTATTTGATAGAACAAGTGAATGAAAACGACGAATTTGCAATTTTTATTCTTCAAAAAATTTAGAGCAAGAGATATTATTTTTATAGAATTTGAAGAAAATACTTAATATATGTGAATGATTTTGGTCTAAAATTAAAGAATGAAATTTGTACCTTTTTTATTGTGCAACTATCAAAACTTAAAAAAAATTCTTTAATTGGCGTACGCTTGAATTCCAGATTTCAAAATCACAATTTTCACAAAAAATCTTTAACTGGCAACTTTAAAGAATTATTTTTTTAATATTTACCCTATTAAATTGGTTATATCTTAGCCTATTTGACTGTAAATTTATTGAACTTTAAAATGATCCTACTTTGATAGCTCTTACATCTATTTTTACATAAATACTGAAAGTAAGTATAAGTACTGAAACTTTTTGGCCCCAGTGTATTTCTCCTATTTTTCTAATATTATAAATTTACTTATTTTGATATTATAACCTGTATAATGAATACAATTTGGGAAAGACTTTTGTCAAAAATTGTTTACCATAAAGTTACCGTCTTTAATTAGAAAGCATATTTCACTCATATTATTCATATTAAAAATTTGAATTTAGTTATTTATTATAAGTAATAATAACTTATAACATTTTATTCACAACAGAACAAGGAGTAATATTAAAAGATCAAAAAAACAAAATGAAAATGCGAACGACATATGGACAGATGAAGACGACGATGAGTTTGGTCAAAAAGACAATAATGATGCTCCAGAACCTGACATTGATGACAATTTAATGACAAGTATTTGAATTTTATATGTAAAATTTATAAAAAAAATTGTCTAACTTCAATCTATAAAATAACAATAACTCACAGTAACATTTTTCTATGTTTATTAATTTGTAATGTATTTTTTAGAAATATCGATACTTATATTTAATGTTTTTAATAATATTTCAGTTGACGACGATTCATCAGGTGAAGAGGATAAAGCTATTGATTGCCGAACAATAGATTATTTGGCAGAAATAAAGCGAGCTTGGGATAGAATACCATATTGTTATAAACGATAATGTTTTTACGAAATTGAAAATATAATTGAGCGTAAACTTGAAAATTAAAAAGGAAAAAACAGGATCAAATTTTTTTTCAACAATTCGTTAAATTTATTTCACATTTCATCTTCAATAGTGTTAACTTCCAGTATTTGAATGTTATTATTTTAAAAACGCATTATCTTTTCAATTAAAATATTTATGATCCTTTAAATAATATTTTTCGATTCAAAAATTTTATTATAACAATTCACTTCCTTCATAATGTAATAATAAAAATTTTTTGTAGAATTTTTAATAAAAAGTTCTTTTATATATTTTAAGAATTCATTTAGAAGCAAAATTTATGAATTAAATAATAGAATTAACTATAATAATCTTCGTATTTTATTCTTTCATTCTGTCTGTCCATACTTTGAAGTTAGTTTTTGTGTATGCTTTTGTTTTTTTTCCTTTAAAACATATTGCTTGACAAATCGGAAATATAAAAGTATTTTTCATGATTTATAATAAAATACTATTTAAAATTGGAAAATTAGAAAATTCAATTTTGTTTATTATATGTTTTTTATAACAAATTTCGTTTGACTGATATAAATTATGCAAATTTAATAACTTTTTATTTATAAAAAATATTATAAAATTGTTAATTGTTAAAAAATTATGATTAAGAAATATACCAATTTTATGCTAATTCATATTTCCCAATAACAATATTGTTCACAAACTGATTATTTTCTTTGTAAAAAATAACATTACATATTCCCGTTTCTTAATATTTTTGTAGAAAATTGTCAATTTTCGTAAGGAAATAATTTGCATCATTTGTATTTCTTAATTACAATTACTTTAATAAAATTCAATTTTTTTTAAAAATAAAGGAAAAAAGAGTTTCTGAATTATATTTTTAAATTAGAAAATTTAATTGAAAATGAAACTGAAAACTTTTAATTTTTTATAAAATAAAGGAAAAAATTTTACTCAAAAAAATGTACCGTTACATTTATTTATGAATTTCTTTAATTGTAAAATTATTTGCAAACATCAATAACTCTTTTTTTAAATAAATATTTAATTATTAATACTTTTCCATATGAATTAAAATTTTTAAAAATTCCAAATTCAAATCTTTTTGAAATTAAACAACTAATATAATAATAATCTTTATTCCAATTCATATTTTATTTTTATGAAAAAAAATTTTAATTAAAAATTTTTAAATTCTATTATTTTTAAAATTGCAAATTTTATTTAAAAAATTTGCGAGAAGTTTTGCTAATTTAAAATAACATTTGCAAGAAAAAACTTCTTAAAAAAAATAAATATTGCTAATTTACAATATCATTTGTAAAGTTTTTATTACATCATTTTGAATCCCTTTTATTATTTAACTTAACATTTTTATTATTATTTAATTAAATATTCAAGTAGGTTCTTAACAAAACGAATAATTATAACATTAATAAAATCGTAGGAAGACCATATTACAGTTTACTGAAATTGAAAATTTAATATTCAGTAATAATAATATATTTTTCAAAAAACAACAATAAAATGTCAGAAATAAATTGTTTACGACCAATTTTTTTTGTCCAAAATTTAATTTAAGTTAAATTAAAATTAATTATTAATATAATTCCAAAATTAGTATTAGTATTAATTAAAATTGAAAATTATAACTTAATCAATTATACTTTATTAATATCCTAACCTCACTTTGTTCTGTACGAAATTCA